ATGGCGGACTCTGCAACGATGCAATGACTGCCGCTGGCATGGCCGCCGCTTCCTCGGACTTTAACGGCGGCGGTGGTGGCTTTGGTGATCTCTCGCGGGAGAGCTCCCTGGCTCAGAAGTTTCTTGAACTGCGTCTGAGGAATGCTCCGCGTAAGTGCTGCCAGACTACTTAACTTTAAAAGCCTCCTCACCCCCCCGAAGTGTGATTTATCAGACCCATTTCATCTTGCGGACTTTCGATTGTAAGCATCTGCAGCCCCATGTGCCTACTTTCTGGAAGTCTGTGTGAACTCAGGTTCTGTTCTAACGGGAGACTTACTTGTGAAAGCATTCGCTGTTTCTTCAGAGTTGAACCATTTGACTGGTTAAAGTTTAGTTTATTGAGGTACCGCTAACGTTGCGTGAATATATTTAAGTAACTACTGTATACCTAACTAAAACACATTTACTAAACTTATACCACATAATTCTGGGGCTAGGGGTACCTAAAGTAGGCAACAAGCTTAACGGAGAAGACTCGATCGCTGGGACAACACTTTTATTCGCCTGACATTTCGATATCCGTCGCCGATTCTTCATTAGAGACATCAGCAGAAAGCAATAGCCGACCAACTTAACTGTTATCATCTGACCGACAGCTCTCACTGGTGGTGGCCTTCGAATCCGCGATAGAATCCGCGACAGCTAACACTCCTTGATGAACGTTCACGGAACGTAGCGAAACTTTCTCGTCCCACTAGTAGCCGCCGCACAGTGCGGCTAGCAGTCTAGGCAGACGGCATTGCCGGCAAAGACAGGGAAAACTGGACTGGCCGTTTGTGGCTCCGCAGTCAGCGTCGTCATCACCTAAACTACGAGACTATACCGCAAGCCTTTAGTTTTTCGTATTTAGGCTACTTTCCGCACCTGCTTTTTCCCCAGTCTCGTATTCGACTGCCGTCGAGGTTGCTGATTCGTTCATGAGTAGACCGTCCTTTAAATTGACGGTAGAAGTTCCCATCAAAGAAGTCAGAAGACCAGTTGGTGAGCATACGTAACTCGCGATACACTCCGCTCGGGCCAACTCATTTATATGTCGAGCAATAACGTTTCTTTCATAAAAATTGGTTTGGTGAATGGGGAGGGGTGCAGTATTAAGATACTGTGAGGGTAATGTGGAGCCATTCCAGCCAGAGGTGGGGGGAGGAGGTGCCGCAGAGAAGTGCATGCGGTTAAACGACCGTTGGTCACGCTAAGCGCGGAACGTTCAAGTTCCTTTGTGTGCACTCGCGTCTGCTCCTCTTGGTAGCAGACGCTGACCCAATGAATTGGAGTAGTTTGGCGGACCTTATAAGTCACATGAAGGCTTTTCTGGCCTCCAAAC